AAAAAAAAATCACACACATCGTTCAACCACACATGAACCTAAACACATATTTTGTTTTCAAACTCCACTGAAGTTTATTTCACACTTCACTTCAGGTTGCAACAAAAGAAACTACAAATCATCTTTACAGTGAAACACTTTTGTGTAACTGTTATTTATTTATTTTTTTCATTCATCCATAGCGCTTCCCGCACTCCTCCTGCAATGGCACTGCGCCCCCCCTAGAGGGCGCACCCCACACTTTGGGGACCTCTGACTTAGGCTAACATATTTTCATGTTTCAATAACGAAAGCAGAGTAACTTTGTAGTCACTTTTTATTTGTCTAATTCAGTTAGATGTAATGAATTTTTAGTGTTTGCTAGTTTTATTGGCTATAATTAGTTTAATGTTGTTTAGTTTCAGTTTAGTTTTTATTTGCTATAGTATTAGCTTTTGTTTTTTCTCATTTTTTTCTCAATTTTAGGTGCAGAATGCAAAAGGATTTATGTATACATTGATTTGGTAAGGAGTATGTAATAGAAGGTATCGTTTCAGAAAATGTATTCAGTTATTGTTGGACAAGAAACAATTGGTTGGTGCTATCTACCAACTTTTGCTGTCGCCATTTTGCGGGCTAGCATTAGTGTTAGCCTGCAACAGTATGTTCCTGCACAAACATAAACTGTTGGTGTGGAATAAAACAAAACAATTTCACATCAGTTTAAAAGTCTAATAAATAGATTCATAAACACGAAAACGATGGATAACATTTCTATAATTTTGGTATGTTTTAGCTAATTTACAATATAGTCCTATTTAGATATAGGATTTCCCCTTTAATCACCATTTTCATTTATTTCAGTTAAAACATTTTTTTCTCAGTTTCAGTTTTTGCTAGTTTTGGTTATAATGGCGTTAATAGTCTGGAGCTAATCTGTGTCGACGGGATAACAGTTTGCAGACCCCTAAATGCACTGGGTGGCATTGATTTCAGCTTGACTTTTCTTCAGTGCCATTTAAACAAGAGGAGCTGCGAGCCTTCAGGGGCAAATGCAATATAAAGATGGCACAACACCCAGCAACCGCAATTATTCTCCTCTCCCATCAACTCGATTCACAAACTGTCATTTGGGCCTAACAGTGCGAGCGTTTGAATCAGTGTCCGGGGTCTTAATGCCGCTGTTTCTCTTCTACAAAGCCTGGTGCACAGCGATCCTAAGTGCTGAAAACTTCCCTTTTGAGCCATGAAAAGAGCAAGAAAAAGAAAAGAGAAACAGTGTGCGTGTGTGCCAGTGGCCTGTCCTTTAATTTTCCATGCAGCCTTTTGTGAGGGAGTTGGTATGAAGTGAAAGCACAGTGTGCAGCTGTCCCTTTGGCTCCATGCTTACTCTTTTATGAGCCGTTTTCTTGTCAAGAATACTAATAGTGATACCAGCCTTGTAGAGTCCAGCCAGCTGCCAGAAAAACAGACGGCGATTATACTGCCATAAGAGAAGGCCATTTCATTTGGCAAAAGTCAATGAGCTCTAGTTGTGCCGACTCATTTCAAAGAAACTGTTTCACATAAATGCAGAAAGTATAAATTTATTTAGCATTTTGTATGCTTCAGTTCAGAGGTTATAACTTTAATAATATAATATCTACTCTTGGGTTTTGACTCCAACATCCACTTTGCAGTTTGGGATATTTTTTAATCAAATAGGTGTGTCTGGGTATCCTTTTTATTTCCATTTTTTAGATAATACTTATTTTCTTATGGCATTATTAACAGATTGATTTGTTTTGTTCTTGCTCTGCCTCTGCAATAGTTTCTTTCGAAGGTGACTTTTATGCTTCCTTGATGGTATCTGATGGCGAAACGTGAATTGTGTCGTAAGACCACCATTGTCAGTAGTTTCTTAGGAACCAGCAGCTATGTGTTGCGTCATACTCAGAAAAGATCCATTTACTCTGTTTACAAGCTTGTACGTTTCGGAAACATTGCACTCTCGAACCCGTTTTCAGTCTGTGCCGTAGTCAGAGAACACATTCGGTGGTTTCATGTAAATGTACACAAAACTCTTCCTTTTTCACCTGAAACTGTTGTCGTGCTAACAGGGCCTAAGATCCTTTCAGAATGAGCCGTTTTAGGGCGTCCTGTCACTTTAAATCCAAATAAGCAGCTTGGGTTGCTAGCAGTTGCTAGGTAGCAAAGACCGCCAAATGTGACGTAGCATTTTCTGTATACCAAAACCACTTTCACCTTTTTCCAAACATGTCTGGGTGTTTTTTAAGCTCTTAGGCTGTTTTTAGAATCAGTTCAGGCTCAAATCAAAGGAAAAAAAATGCTAATCAGATTAAAAGAAATCTAGTAATTAGCATTTATTTGCTGTTCTGTTTGGGTGGCATTTAAATGTTCTGCCCAGGTTTCAGTTTCTGTCACAGCTTTAGTGAATTCATCATTATTACCAGAATATTTCCATGATTTCAAACTTTTGATGGCTACATAGATGGATAAGCGGTTGTATGGAGGGAGCATGTAGCTATTAAAGGAATGAACTGACCAGAATGTATTTAGCGGACTTGCTAAGTCCTAAAGACTTAGAGGAAGTATATATGGCAGCTAAAATATTCATTGATACTGCGAATGAACCCTCTGAGAGAAACTATGATCTCACTGGACTTAACTCCAAGGTTTGATCGCCTGCCAGGCCTTATTGAGTTGCTGGGGCAGGGAGAGCTGCTGGCACAAGTGGAGCAAGAGTATTTAGAAGTTTGGGCAGATATTTTTAGGAGCGCTCAATTAATCATCAGACATCATCCAAGAAACTAAAGTTTTCAAAGCTGAGAGTCTCCACAACATCTAAACATCCCTGTCTCTGATTTTCAGGACCTGTCTCTCCACATGGGAGGTTTGTCTCAATAAAGATAAATCCTCAGTAAGCTTCAAAAATGATCTCTGAATAAGTTTATATATATGGAGGAGGATTAGGGTCAGTGATGATAAAGTTTTCTGACTGAATTTTCTTACAATTCTAATTTTAATATCATGATTCTGATGATGATCTCAGAATTTTGACCATAATCCCTTATTTCATATTCTTTAATCTCAGAACTTTGACTTTTTTCCTCAGAATTATGACTTTAATCTTAAAATTCTGACTTTTTTCAAAATTCCAACATTGATCTCAGAATTTTGATGTTTTTTCCTCAGAATTCTGACTTTAATCCCAAAATTTTTGCTTTTCTTCTCAGAATGTAGTTTTTTCCCCCCTCAGAATTATGAGTTTAATCTCAGAATTCTGTTTTTCTTTTTCTTTCTTGGAATTATTTTGACTTCATATCAGAATTTTGAGGCGCTGTGATGTCACTGCTGTATCACGTAGCTTAAAATGACAATTCCTCAGTCACAGAAAAACTTGTGTAGATCACAGAAAGCGTAGATCCAACATGTTCTTCCGGAAAGTTCATTAGTCTCCCTGATAAATCTCACACTGGTTACTGACTCAGTTCCTCCCAGGTGCCCATTTCCTTTAAAGTCAGAAGTCTTTATTTAGTTTTTTTTGTCCGGTGTGTTAAGGAGTCTTACCTAAGGTGAAACACTGAGTCAATCAAAAATGAGTCAAAATGCATTTTGATTATTATTTTATTAAGAAATTAAGCAAAGAACATAGCAATGACTCCCCTGGCTAGTCCAGGGAAGTAAAGAAAATATGAAGATACATTTTAATATCCACCAGTCCTATTACAAAGATTGGAGCAAAAGGGAGTATCCCACCAGTTTCAGTTTATTTCACAACTCTGGTATTTGCACCTACAGACTGTGATCCTGGATGGTTTAAAACCAGTTCAAAAACGGCATTTATTATGTGTTTCCAGCTAGCTGCTTCCAACATGAAGAGTGCTTTATAGCTAGAATTGATTGACTGCTTGATTGATTCAAATAAAACAAAGTTTGACATAAGAGGTGACCCTAATCTTTATACATGTGACTTGGGTTGAACATAAGAGACCTAATCTACTCCGCGATAAAGAAATAGTGCAGAAGCACTGTCTTTCCACAATGAAGGAACCTTTCCAGTTGTTCCAGAGGTTGTATGAGGTCACTGCAGACATCCCGTCATGGCTGCTGGGTTAATAACAGACCTGGGCTGGTGATGGAGAGCTGGACAGATGCCTCCCGGCTGAGACACTGTGTCATTAGCTCACGGAGGTGATAAATAGCTTGAGGTCAGAGGCCTGCGGCATCGATTTCCCTTTGAAAATCAGAAAAATCTGCTGTATGGTTGGGCTTTTAGTTGCTTTCGTGGCTCCTGTAATTTACAAAAGCCCCCACAGTTTGTTCAAATCACATGGATTCTTTCCTTGAAACCAGCTGGTTAAAATGAACTAGTTTTAGTCGGATTCATGTGACATTCAGGTAGAAAATGTATAAAACCATCACAAAACATTTGCAGATTTCAGTAGATATAAACACACAGATTTTCATTGTTTTTGTTTCATAACTAAAGTACTACTTTGATCTATATACCCTGTCGATATATACTCCATCATAGTCTATAAATGACTTTCAACCATATACTTAAGATAAAAAATAAACAAGATTAATGTTAACAAAATAAATCAAAAGCAGAATAAATCTGAAAAAGCAGTTATATCAAATAGATCTCCAGTTGTTCTTGTCAAGAAATGAAGTCAATCAATAATAATGATAGTTAATTGAACAGCAGGATATAACCAGGTGTAATGCACATGCATGATCAATTTGAGATCAATGGAGTATAATTAGCTAAACCAACAATATGCACGCTTTCCAGCATCAAAAATCTATTTTCTTTGTTATTCTCCAGGAGATTTAGAATAGTACTTTTCATCTTAAATGCAATTGTTTCTATTTATTGTTCTAAAGTTGTTATTCTTCAGGACATGTCATATCTTTGAGTCTGTATTCTAAATTGATGGACAATTAATCACAATGTTGGTGATTGTTTCAGGTCATTTATTGTGGTAATTAGAGTGATTACTGTTTTATCTTTCCAGATATGTCCAGATCCTTCCAGTCATCTGTGCAGTTTGTCATCTCACCCTGGCCTTCCCCATCCAAACGCCATCAGCTCACGGTGAGTTCACATTTACTGCCTTACAAAATCATTGAAAAACCGTCTGAACTTTCACCACATTATGTGACATTAGCTGCTTCATTATGCATTTGGTTGCAGTGAATATTTATCAAGAGGTATCCACCTTATTCCGAGCTCCCATGAGGCTTTGCGTGATTTATGGGCGCGTCTTCCGCCACTACCCGGAACCGCCATTTGTTTACATGCTCACACCTCCCTAACCGGGTTTCCGCAGAGGTTTTAAGCTATAAAATAAGTGGGAACTCCGACTATTACAGCTTACATGTGGCAATATTGTTTTACCACTACCTATAACTAATGCCGGGACTTGAAGAAATGGGCGCAAATAACCCGCACTAGCATAGTTAGCTACTTCACTTCCCTTGACTTTTTATCCACACAATGAAACGAGCACATAAAGCATTTTGGATTCTCTCTGAAAGCCAAATTATTTTTGTTTCCTCATTTATCGGTAGGCGATGAAAACTACCGCCTTTGCTTTGGGAACATGTTCTAGACACACCTGTTATTGTCAGCAAAAAACCTACAAATTACACGAAATACTGCTACTTCCGGTGAGCGCCGGAAGTAAGACCCGTAATCGTTTCCACAATAAACCTTCCAGGAATAAGGTAGATAAGAGGAAAGCAGGGTTGAATATCAATACACGTTACAGTTTTCAGAATGTTAGTGGAAAACTTTATTTTATTTAAACTTTTTTTTACTAATTTTTGTGCAATCACATTAAGCCTTTATAAGCTACATAAAAGTTTATAGTTATGATGTATAATAATTTGTATTTTTGCAAAGGAACTGTTTTTGTATTTGCTTTAAGTAAGCAAGCAAAAAATATGCTCGATATATATGTCTAATTTCACCATGAACTAGTGTTATTAAGTTACCATATCCAGGCTAAGAAAAGAGATAATTATATTACCAGAATAAAGTCAAAGTAATACAATAATAAAGTTGTAATAATATGCAAATAAAGTCGGAATATGGCAAGAATAGTTATAACATTACATTCTTGTTGGAGTCCATGAGAACTCCAACAAGAAAAGGCAGTTTTACAGCTGCAATAAAATGATGGATGTGGAAAATGTTGTAAAGCTATACTTTATGTTTATTTGATAGAGATAGACACACATTAGCCTAGACAAACTGAATAAGACAACAGTCCCTTAGTGTTTATAGCTAAGCTAATTTGTCCTTTTCTTGTATTATTGTCTCCTCCATGTTATTTCTAGCATAAAAGTAAATAAATTTAGTTTTGGGAAGCTTTCAGAGCCATTTCGTCCCCTGTAATGATGTTTTTTTTTTTTTTTTTTTTTTCTTGTTTCCATCAGATGACGTGCGACAGCTGAAGCTGGACATCCCCCATTCAGGTCCAATTCTTGTTCCTCTGGGCAGCTCCATCTCCATCCCTTGTTTCGTGTCTCTGTCCTCCTCCTCTTCTTCGTCCCCGTCTGTTGTCCCCCGGGTGAAGTGGACAGTTGTGTCCGGCGGGATTGAGACGCAGATCTTGGTAGCGCGGAGTTCAAGGGTGAAGATCAATGAAGCGTACCGCGACCGCGTGGCACTGCTGAACTACACGTCGTCCCCTGAAGACGTTTCTCTGTGGTTAGGCGATCTGCGCCACAGCGACTCCGGTCACTATCGCTGCGAGGTGCAGCAGGGACTGGAAGATGCCAGCAAAGTCGTGCAAGTCAAAGTCAAAGGTAGCATCAGCATGTTGAGGCTTATTTGAGATTTCTGTCTGTGCAACACTTTCCCCCAGTGTATTAAAAGCCTGGTGGGCCACCAGGCTTTCCTTGTGACCCCGCCAGGCAAAGCAGTCTTTTCAAAAGACTTAAATAAATAAGTCTTTTATTTAAGACTTTATAGTTGGTGTTCAGGGGTTAATCTTACAATATTTCAATAACACAATTATCAAGTGATATTTTAAAATTCAACCGTCTTTGAACTCAAAAACATGACTTGGCAAATTTTCTGGGGGAAACCTGGTGGAAATTTTGAAAAATATTTGATCATACTGTATCCAGAGTTGGGTTGTAAATAGTTACATTTATTCAATTACAATAAATTTTTAGGAGTATTTTTACTATGCTATACATTTTATTTTTACTTGAGTAATTTTATTATGAAGTATTGCAACTCTTGAGTAAAATTTCTGCATTCTCTGCACACTGAATGAAAAACAAACATGTTTTAATAAAAAATTCAGACACACAATGCAGTTTTTTTCAAGTTTCATACGTTTTTTTGTTGAAAGAAACTGATTCAGAAATTTTTTTCTTTTGCCTGATTTTGTTGTCTTTTGTTACTTATATGAATTGTCATTTTCGTGCAAAAAATACCAAACATTCCCACTTAACTTTACCTTTTGGTCCGTCTGATTATGTCATTTTAAGATATAAAATTAATAATTTGATCACTTACTCAGTACTTGAGTAGACTTTTTACCAAATACTTTTTTACTCTTACTTGAGTAATTTCTTGGATGCTACTTTTCACTTTTACTTAAATAAAAATATGTTGAAGTAGTGCTACTGTTAATTGACTACAATTTTTGTGTATTCTTCCCAGCTTGCTATGTGTCAGCTGCAAACTATTATATTATGACATGTTAATAATTGCACTACCATAGTATCCAGTATATTTCTGAATGTGTACATATGTTCTGATGTTTTCAGGTGTGGTCTTCCACTACCGAGATGCTTTGGGTCGGTACTCCTTCTCCTTCCAGCAGGCCCAGAGGGCTTGTGAGGGGATTGGTGCTCAGGTCGCCACACCCGACCAGCTGCTTGCAGCTTATTTTGATGGATATGAGCAATGTGACGCAGGTTGGCTGGCGGACCAATCTGTCAGGTAGGTTTTTTACTCTTTAAAGGGGACCTATTGTGTAAAATGCACATCTTTGTCTTTCTATTTGGGTTTCTGCTGCTTCTAAAAACAACCCAGTCATTTTCTGGCAATCAGTTAATGTTTTTTTGGAAAATGCTTCAAAATCTTCCCTGATTGTTAAGTCACATTTAATGGGCACTGCACTGCTACCTAGCAACCCCAGCACGTTTGGTCAGCTGGTTTTATAGTAGTATGCGCTGCATAATGGCTGCTGGAAAAGTGTTTTGTTGTTGACTTACCATCCAGAAACCACTTACTGCATTCATTTTGGTTGTGCAGGAGGCTCTACTTCTCCTTTTCAAAGATACATGGTTGCATCTTTTTGTAGCCATTTTCATGTGCGAGTGTGAACGTTGAGTTGGGGGGCATGGCCAGCAGCAGATCATCTGGATTTAAATTGATAAGACACCCTACAGCAGCTCATTCTAGAAGAAAATACAGACTGAAATCTCATTGGAGAATGATTTTGTGTAAAACAAATATAACCAAAATGTTTTGTACAGCACTACTAAAGCTCAAAGCATAATATCTTTGAACTTTTATTAACCTAGGATTTGTTTTTTATTTTGTCAAACCAGCATTAATTTCTCGGTCAATCAGATGTCAGTTTCCTTTTAGAAAGCATTATTCTTGACTGACGCAGGTATCCAATCCAAGTGCCCCGTGAAGGTTGCTATGGAGACATGGACGGGCAACCAGGAGTGAGGAACTATGGGACGATGGATCCAGATGATCTCTTTGACGTCTATTGCTACATAGAGCAAATTCACGGTACGATTTATCATAGTGTAAAATTAGATGTGGTATACACAGAAAGAAACACTTCAAATCAGATGTTTAGATAAGCTTTCTAAAAAGTACACAAAACTTTTTCTCACTGTTTGGCAATATTAGGTTATTTTTTGCTGTCATACATTCTTGTGAATATCTTGTGAGTTATTTATATTGTAAGTTGCAATCTTAGTGTACTGTTGAAATGAATTTCCTCACACTTTCAAAAGGTATTTTCAAAATTTACATCTAAATTTAAAAGTTTAGAGTCTGTGGACAATTTCACTGCTGTTTCTGGATCTTCTGGTTCATAAAACCATGAGATGGAGTCAGACTAAAAAGTAGACAGATGAATAAAAGTCTCAAAATAAAGGATATTTTCTTAAGACAACCTTAGAATGACACTAGGAAAACCAGAAGAGCATAAATTATCAAGACACATGAGAGAAACAACAGAAAAGAAGCTTGAACACAATAGTGGGTTAGGAGACTTTTTAAGTCTGAATATTTCACATTTTAAAGCTACATTTGTCATGTTGGATTTTAGTTTTTTTACCCACATGCAGGCTTCAAACAACAAGCCATGAGAATTAAAGTTCAAAAAATTTATTTTACAGTTTTGTAAGGGTGGTGAGTCCGGGTTGTCCTCTGAGCTGGAAAACAGAGGGTCGGCTCGGGTGCTGCTCGGAGAGGGGAGAGGTTTAGAAAGGAGAAGGACGGCGGGATCGTGGCAAAGGAGGGAACGAGAAGGCTTACGGGTCGTCGGGGAAGGAGAGTTGCTGAGGGAGGTGGTAGGAATTGTGTGTGTGTAGATTCCGGCAACATCTGCCTGCCGAGGCGGCAGGCAGATGTTTCCGGTCAATCCGTGGTCAGCTTGGCAGTATAGGGCAGGTGCAGTTCCTGGCAAAATCCCAACGAGACGTCATCAATCTGTGGGAGAACACACACAGCTTACTTAGATCTTCTGTGGACCTGAGACTTAACAAGACATTAGATTTGACTCTGACCAACAAGTGGGACCATCGAGCGATGACTGGTTGCACCACCGCTCCTTAAGAATCCTGCCGCCCATTGTAGGAGATCCGCTTCAGGTGCGCTTCAGATGCGCTCCCACGAAGATCGTCTATTGCAAGAACACTCACACCAACTAAAATCCTAACAACATTTAACTAATGTAAAAACATAATCCGAAAATTACCATGTGCAATGGGCCGAACATTTGTAAAAAAAGAAAAAAAACAGCAAAAGGCATAAAAACTGAAACTATGATCAATAGAGAGGTGATGAATCTCTTGATTTCTCTGACAAGTTTTTGCTGAATTTTATTCCTGATTTTAAGTAGTTGATTTGCAGATACTGTCACTTTGTTCTGGATAGTTTTTATAGATCAGAACCTTCTTCTCTCCTTCATCAGTCTTATTGTTTTAAGCACACTATGCAAATACAAGCCACGTTCTGAAAATGAAAAGCCTGAGGGACCTTAAAAATGACAAGAAATAAAATCTATAACCTCGATCTGTTCCGTACAAGTATACAATACAAATATAATCAAAGTTAATATTTTGTGTTTTTAGGAAAGGTCTTCAATGACCCCGTCCCACAGCAGTTGTCATTTGACGAAGCCCAGTCATATTGCAGAGCTGCGGGAGCACAGCTGGCTACAACCGCACAGCTGTACTTGGAGTGGAGCGAAGGGCTGGACCGCTGCAGTCCAGGCTGGCTGTCTGACGGCAGCGTGCGCTATCCCATCGTAATTCCAAGAGAGCGATGTGGTGGCCCACAAGCAGGTGTCAAAACACTCTACCGCTTCAGCAACCAAACCGGTTTCCCAGAGCCGTCTGACCTGCATGATGTCTATTGTTTCAAAGGTGGGTGTCTTTAAATACGCCAGACTGTGAAGTGGTTCTTTAAAGTGTGACTAACCTCCCATGGCCTGTCACTATCACGACTGTGGAGACCAAAGATTGTTGTCAGCAGGTTAATTGACATGCACAAGAGTGAAATTGAAAAAAGACAATGTCATAAAACTTATAAAGCTGTGCAGCATTGACTGAATTTCTGCTGAATAAAAGCCAAAACATCTATAAGAACTTACACTACTGACGCCATCTTGTACAACTTTGCAAATTGTGTCTAATTCTTATAGCAAAATGACTCATTTTACAGTCAAATAATGCATCTAGCATTAAAACAGTGTTACAAAATTATTCATTTAGTACATACCGGCAATGTAACCGTAAATCAAAGATATATATGCAGTAATTTTCTCCAACAGGTCATCATGAAGCGACAACTGATACATCACTGTTTTGCTTGACTGCAAGGAAAAGTTTTGGTCCAGATTAAAAAAAAAAAAGAAGAAAGATTGCCAAGTTGCAAAACCTGAAAATTGACAGTGTATTATGACCATTGGAGATAGAAACAAAAAACCAATTTAGTAAGTTAATCAGAAAAAATAACTTTAATTTTTTGGGAGTTAGTTACACTTTATTATTCCCGTTTGTTGGTGTTTTTACTCTGAAATCAAACTTTTAATTTCTTATATGTCCTCAACAGGATATGGAGAAACTTCTACTGTCTCTCCAGTGAATAATCTGATCACAGAAGCTGAAAACTTACAACAAAATGTTGTTATTCTAGTGGAACGAGAACAAGAAATCCATCTTAATCAACTGGAGAAACAAGTGGAACGTGAAGCACAAAGCGAACTGGAATCTTTACCCCTGTTGCCCGACTCTTTTACTACAAAAGATCCACTCGACAGAAACCAAACGGTCACCTCAGACAGAGCAGAATCTTTCCCTACTACAGCTTACGCTTTGGACTTCCTTAAACCACTAAATGAAAGCACAGAAATACGTTACGACTCCCAGGGTCTTCCAGAGGCAGCTGTCAGCACAATCAGCACAACGAAGACCTTTGATTCAACACAAAGCACAATGATTCCTAGCACAACGATTCTTCCTGGTGATGACAATGGGACAGACTTACACCAGAACCTGAGCTTCACCTTTCACACATCAGAGTTTGAGAGAAGCACATATGGACCACAGACCCAGAACCAGACAGCATCAGACACAAACTCTACTGAGTCTCTACAATCAACTGAACAGACAATCCAATACCAAGAAATTCAGGAGACCAGTTTGGACAAATCTCACACCAATTACGGCGAAACCAAGAACAACCATACAGACGTAGATGTAGAGAAAGCGATTTGGGAGGGGACGACTTTGGCGGCTGGTCCGTTGCTTCAGGTAAAGTTGGAAGATGCAATCACAGACGATCTTGGACAGATGAACACGACTAAGACGATCCAAGACAAAGAAACTCCAGCCACACAAGAAACTCCAACTACTAAACTAACCATTGAGGCCTACTCAATATGGACTCCCAGTGATGGATCCGGAGATATTTCCCAAGGTAGGAAATTACTTTAATAAAATAAGTGCATTTATATAGGCCAATCACCTGAAAATGTGTCATTGTATAATTAAATGATATGTTTAGAATCAGAGCATATTAGCTCAAAATGTCAATATTCAATACATGTCATAAACCACATTTAGAAAGTTGGATCAAGGCAGAATTTTCAAGAGGTTGGTATTTTCTATCTAAACTAAGGTCAAACACGACAGATTTAACTGCAAAAACACAAAATCTTACCATTGAATTTTAGTTTATTTCATAAGGGAAATTGTCTTTGTTCATATGAAATAAGACAAGTAACTTCTCAGCAAGATAAGTGAATAATGCTTTAATATTGATGAAAAAGTACCAGTTTCCCTGACAGATTATTTCACTTATAACCAGACATTTTTCCCATTTTACAAGTTGAATAAAATTCCAAGTGACACTAGTACTTTTTCATCAATATTAAGCAATTATTTATTTAAAACAAGCTCCTGTATCTCACTGAAAAGTTATTTGTAAGTTAGTTTTGTCTTATTTCAGGTGTACTAACTTAGTGCATTGGAAACTAGACCAAAAATACTTTTTGTGTTTTTGCAGTGTTTTTTAATAACACTGCAAACAAGTTTCCTACAGTATCTACAACAAACATTTATATTAAGAATTGAATTTTTTCAATTGATTTGTTTATTTATTTATTCTCTTCTTGTTTATTTATTTACAGGAAATTATGTAATTATTGGTTTATATTTTAGCCACTTTAAATATTTTTCTGAACAATATCCAACAAAGATCAAGTTGCTTAATTTAAAACTACTTGCACACAAATTGTATTTGACTTTGGATTTTTGTGCCAGGTGTTAAGTTATGAGAAGCTTTTTTGATATCAAAATAAAATGTTTTGAAGTGTCAGAATTTCTTTCTTATATTTTTACTTGAGCTGAAAATCCTCAGTGTTTTAGTGGTTTAAAAAAGATTTTATTTTGCAAGACTAAACTGCTTGAGCGAAATGTTTTTGAAATTTAGGTGCAATATTTAAGGCTAAATGAGAGCTAGGAAACTAGGTGCAAAGTTGAAAAAACGACGATGTGTAAATCAATTTAAACTTTTTCAAAAACAATGTTATTGAAGACTTTTTATTCAGATTTCCACAGTTTTTACTTTACAAACCTGATACTTAGATAATATGTTATCTCAGTAAATTCTTATCAGTTAAGCATTTTGTCAAACCTATAACCCAAAACATTTTATGCTTTCTTTCAGAAAGAGAATTTGAAACGGAAGCAGCCACCTTCATGTCCTCGTCTCAATCCTCCGCTGCTGGATACACCGCTAAACCGCTGGATTCTGCAGTGGCTAGCACCACACCTCTGAGGGAGACTCCTGATCCAACCCTGTCTTCTGTGTCACGCCATATGGACAAATTGAATTTTGAAAACCACACCGCGACACCAGACTTGTGGGAACTCACTATTTCTAGACAGGAAGGAAGTACAAGCTTAGACACGGAGGAGGTAGATGCAACTCAGGCTCCTAAACAGGTAGTTTCTGGAGTAAGTTTGCCTATGACCGAATCTCCAGAGGACTTCAATATCTCTCATTCACCGTCTGAATTTGCAACGGAACAGTATCAGACATTAGGCAGCTCTTATGAAGAGGCAAGCGGATCTGAACTTGGAACAGTTACTTCCATCTTTCAGGAAGGCATTAGAGTTGCATCGCCTTTTGAGAAAACTTTTGTAGTTTCCCCAACCCATGGCAAGGAAGAGTACAATTCAACTTCAATTGAAGAAGAAGCTATTTTTTTCTCAACTGCTGTGCCCATAGAAGAAGCTAGCCAAAGCACTGAAAAAATTGCCACAACACTTGTTCTTGAAGTAGAAACCATAGTTACACCAACTGTTGTCCTAGTAGAAGAAGCTAAAGTTAGCACAACATTGGGTCTTGAAGACAGTAAAGTTTTTCCAGCTGTAGTTGCTGAAGACAAAGCTGAAGGAACACCAACAACTGCTCTTAAAGAAGATGTTGACATAACCCCAACAGCTGTTCTTGGAGAAGATGTTAACATAACCCCAACAACTGCTCTTGGAGAAGATGTTGACATAACCCCAATAGCTGCTCTTGGAGAAGATGGTAACATAACCCCAACAGCTGCTCTTGAAGAAGACTCTAAGATTGCATCAACCCCAATTTTTGAAGAAGAAACTAAAGCTGATCCAAATGTTGCAGAAGAAGCTAAAGTTACAACAACTGTGGTTTCTGAAGAAGCAGCTCATGTTGACCCAACTGTTGTCCTAGATGAAGAGACTAAAGTTAGCCCAACTGTGGTCCTTGAAGAAGTGAAAGTTGCTCCAGTTCTGGTTACCGAAGAAGACACTAATGTTGAAGCAACGGTTGCAGAAGAAGCTAAAATTCGCCCAACTATGGTTCCTAAAGAAGAAGCTACTATGGACCCAACTGTTGTCCCAGCAAAAGAAGATAAAGTTATCCCAACATTGGCTGTTGAAGAAAATAAAGTAGCCCCAACAGCTGCTCTTGAAGAAGACTCTGAAACTGCATCAACCTCTGCAATTGAAGAAGAATCTAAAGTTGACCCAGAAATTACAGAAAAAACTTCAAGTCCCCCAACTCTGGGTTTTGAGGAAGAGGCTAATGTTGACCCAACTCCAGTCCTTGGAGTTGTTATTGATGAGGAATCCAGACTTACTTCCGAAGAAAAAGCTAAAGTTGACTCAACTCTGGTTCTTGAAAAAGAAGCTAGTTTTACTCCAAGTGCTAAAGAAGAAGTTCATGTTGTTCCCACTTTGATTTATGAGGAAAGTAAATCTACCCAAATCCCCCTCCAGGAGGAAGAAGTCAATGTCCTGAAGTTTGACAATTCAGAGGAAATTACTAATCTTTCTGGTGCCCCTGAAGAAGAATCCAAAGTAACCCCAGCCTTTGTGACTGATGAACTTGAAGTTACTTCAATCTTTAATTTTGAGCAGGAAGCTGATGTTGCACCAACCCTTGAGGACTTTACAATCTTTCCTGTGAATACGCAAACATCTATGTGGAGTCTGTTGACTACCACAACTGAACCTCAGGAGCATCTGAATAGTGTAAAGATCAGTCAGAAACCCCCCTTCATGTCAGTGTCAGAGCCCTCAATGAATACCAAGTCTATGTCTTCTGCCCCTACCATTTCTACCCCAACATATGTGCCCCAGCGCACCTGGAGCCCAAGAACCACAAGACCTCACACTTTCCAGAAGACGACAGAAACCCAGAAGGTGAACCATTTCATCCCACCATTGGATCAAGGTGTGATTGATCTTGACATTATCCTCACCCAGCAACCCACCCTGCATAACTTGCCCAAAGAGAGGGCAGCTGTAGGTGGTACAGGGGCATTTTCAGGTAATGCTAAAACCACTCTAATCAACCTAACCGTCCTCTTCTTGCTCAGCACACTGATGCACTAAAATCCCAGGTTTATTTTCTGACAAACTTCCTCCATGTTCTGTAAAACAAAAATCCCCCCAAAAAACAAAACCCTCTCCCTGTTTGTTTCACTCGCTGTCTCAACAGATCCTCACACCTTTCTGACTCCTAAACGCTTCACCCTTTTAAAACACTCCTACGCTCCTCACTGCTCTCCTGCTACTCACACTCGGACAGTTGACATTTTGTCAACATTTTTTTCTTTTTTGCATGACATTTTCCTACTCATCCAAAGACTGACTTCTGTGAAGTACAGATAAGTTTGAATGAATGTTTTAGTGTTTCCCTTACAAGAATGGTGGCAGTAGCCCCTGAAATCAGAATGTGTTTTGCATAAATGTTGAAACTAAGGCTACATTCACACTGCAGGCTTTTGATATTCAATTCTTTTATAAAATCAGATTTTTGGGGGTGTGGTCGTTTATTCCACTTGTATGTGTTCCCCTGTGTGAACTGCAAACTTCCTGAAAGTGTCTCGCATGCGCAGTAGAGAGCGCAATAGCGTCACACATAGTGAGCATGATCGGTGTTTTGCCAACCGCCATAAAGGAGGAAGAAGAAGAAGGTCTCAGTGTTTTCGGGAGTAAATGTGGATGCTAACGGTGTAGCATAGCTTACGATTTTGTTGTCCGAAATAACACATTAACACCATAATTGTCATTGTCGTCCGCCATGGTTGTTGTTTTCCTTCCCGCTTGCGCGTATCAGCATTTTGAAGACGCAGAACAGTGACGTTTGTCGAGTATCAATGACGTTCAGGACCTGGCCGTTGGGATTCAGGTCACATTTGAAAAGACCGGATACGGACCTCTGTCATTCAGACAGTCACAGGAGATCAAATACAGGTGGTATTAAGGTAAAAAAAAAACAAAAAGAAAACGGATTTGGATTACGTCAGGCTGCAGTGTGCATGTAGCTTAATTTATGAATGTAACATAAATTAATTTGAATGTGAAAGCACTGACCAATGCAACTGGAATAATGTTTTTTGACAGGAATGTTCTCTGATATTGCCTCTTTAGCTAACATAAGCACACATTGTGTTAAGGTTTAGAAGCACAAACCATTTTTATTCACAATTTGTTGTGAGCAGTGGGGGTTTTTGAGGTTGGCCATGTGGGCAGTTGCCCAGGGCAGCAATAAAAAGATTTTCTGATGGTTTTGAGCATATCAAATGGAGAAACTCAGAAAAATGAAAAACCTTCTTGCATTATGATTGGCTTGGGAGAGGCAAGAGGCGGGATAAGCACAGTTGCCATTCATGCAAGAACTGCCACTGCTTTTGCACCTTGTTTTTAATTATCTTTAAGCTGTTCCCTTATTATATTGCCTGTTGTGTATTCATGATTGCTTAGGATGTGTGTTGTGTTTTTAAGAAGTAATTCCATTATTATATATTGTATTTCTGTTTACCGTAGTAAAAACATAGTAATTTTGTGGTTGGTAGTTTCTACATCCAGAGGCATTAAATGTTAATTTCTTTGAAAAAAAAGAAAAATACTTTAACAAAAAAAACAAGGCTTGTATAAAATTTGCTTGACAGAAATCCATTTTAATTGAAGTGTCATTGTGTTAGTAAATTAAGATCCTTTTATTTTGAACTCAATGTAACAAGTTAAAGTTAAATCATTATTAGTTTAGTCAGAAATGGCTGCTTAATTATTGACAGAACAGTGCAAAAAAGAAAGTTTTGTTGAATATTTCATCCCACAAAGAAATATAAACATTTTATTCTCATGACAATAATAAAAAACAGTCAAAACTATTATATTTTAATTTCTTATGAATACATCATCACGCTTACCATAATATTAAGCATTTGTCACCAAAAATCTAAAAATTTAAATATTTAATTTGGATTTTAAATATTGAAATACTCTGCACAATATCAGAAAAAGAGACTATAAATGTCAACATCTGACAACAAATTGATAATAACAATTGGTAAAATATAACACAAAAACAGTTATATCATCTATAAAATGTGGCTTAATTGTTTTATATTTTCATTTCTAGTAGACTTCACTTCAGCTTTGTTAATGTAATAATTTTTTTTCTTTACTCTTAAATCAGTAATTTATAAATATTTTATTTTATATGTTCTTTCAATAATTTATCTTGGTATCATTTTCCTCGCTTGCTTTATATTTATTACAAAATTCACAACCACGTTAACTTTAATTTCTGAGTTTCTCACTTTCTTATTTTTTCTCATTTACTTTTCGATGTGAAATAATTTTAAAATGAATGTCACAATTACAAGTCAAATGCTAAAAAATAGTTGTGCTGTTTTTTTACAAATATAAATTAAAATAGAAATATAATTTTTTGCCACATTTAATAAATCCATAATGATTTCAACTAGTTGTTTTTATTATTTTGTGGGCATATTGAGCCATTTCTAAAATACATTATTTGGTTCTAGTTCTCCATATACTTTATGTAATTGCTACAACAGAATTTTCTTGATTAGCACTTGTTTTCTTTTTTGTTATTCTGGGTTTTAATCTGTTTTATTTGTGTTTATACTAAAACTGTCCCTTTTATTCAAGTAACTGCACTGAAAACAAAGTCTTTTAAATATGTTAGCAATGCATGTATAAGGAGATGGACTTCACAGATTTACATATTTTAAGTCTGTTGTCCTCTAAATGCTTAAGGTGTTCATTTTCGTTTGCTAAAATAAAAGTAATCACACAATTATTGTGCTTGGTTTAGTAATATACCAGTTGCAGCCTTGATTTTCAGATTTAGTGACGCATAAACAACCATCTCCCCTTTTGGTGAAGAAAAGTGAAAACATCTCTACTGAGTTAAACTTTGCCAAGTTAGTAAAACTTTGATGTTTTAGTGAGCATAAACATGAGTAAAACAATCTTAATGAGAGGACGGGGTCCTTTAGACTTTAAAGGAGTCTCTGGTTTCCCACGCTTTATTTATATTCCTTTGCTTTATTTATAAAGCAAAGGAATATGACAACAGTTGCGCCTGAAGAGCATATGATTCCCATTTGTGTTGTGAAAGGTAGTTATTACCTTTTACATACACTGCAGAGATGTTTCTGGAAGGAGCTTTATGTGAAAGTGAACATAATGACAAGACAAAGCTTATGTTGTTAAATATTTGATTTCTGGTTCTATAGATATGTCATATTTTGCTTTATTTTCATATATTTTAAAATAAATCCAGACTTTGAGCTCTCTTTCTTCTTTTGAAGGCTTTAAACAAGCAAGCTACCATCTCAATGTGACAAAGCAAATACTTTTTTGTTTTGTGCACTTGTTACTCAAGTAACATTTTGCTTGAGTGAACACTTTGTATGAAATGATGTTGAGTCATCTGACTGGCACATTTAGCTCAGATTATTCCTTTATAGTTTTCATTACCATAGCAAAAAAACTGTAGGTACTTTTAATAAAAATAATGAACATAAATGCCAAAAATAAACAAGAAGGAGAAGAACAAAAAGGAACGAAGACGACAGAGGAAGGACCTAAGAAGACGAAAAGATCACCCTGTCCTCTCTGGGCCTACATTTTGTCTTTAATTCTGTGTCTTGCATTTTAAATTATACTAATAAATGTATAAAACAACAAGTTCCTACCTTTAAACTAGTGTGCTTAAGTAATATTTTGAAAAATGTTCCCACGTGGGTCAGATCTGTGGTTTTCATTTCAACATTGATCTGCAGTAGCCCCTCTCTTGTGTTTCAGATGCCTGTTTGGACAACCCCTGTCTCAATGGAGGGACCTGCACTGAGCGGGACGGACACATTAAATGTCTCTGTTTGCCGACTTATGGAGGAAGGTTCTGTCAGAGCGGTGAGATTCCTGCCTGTCGTTGCTGTCCAGAGTTTTGAAGCACATGCACATTTAATTGGATCCTTCCTACATTGTGTTGATTTTATTAAATGTTTTGGCTGTGACACGTTATTTTTTTATTTATTGGTGGTTTCTTGGTTTATTCTGACAAGAACAACAATAGTAAAGTCACAGGTAATGACAATGATAGTTTACTCTATCATTGTCCCTTCAGCTTTAGTCAGCTAAAGGGAGAATCCGAATAACAAAAAACATTTTGTGTAATTATAACTGAATAGAAATGTAACCTGTTTACAGAGGTATCAAATGTTTTTCTCACTAAGAAAATAAGATCGTGATCAGTCAATCTAGGACTTTTTCCACCTGTAAAGTGAAAATTATTCATCATCTGAAATGAAAACTAATCTTTCACAGGAAAAATGCAATGAAAAGTTAAAGACTCAATCAAAAGTATCCCAAGAAAAGGAAGTGGGTGGAAACAGGTGGTTTGTTTCTTAAATGCACTTCTGACTTGATTTACCTTTTTTTTTTTTATATATATATATATTTTAATAACTAAAAATTTCTTACAACTTAGATGCGAACCAAAGTTAACTTGATCTGATCTTACAAGTTCAGAAAATCACCCAAAAATTTATTTAAAAAAACTAAAAACATCTTTGCCATGCCCTCTGGTGTGTTCTTAATTTTTTTTTTATTAATCGGGGGATCTTATCAAAAACTTATCAAAATAATCATATCAATTCCCAATATAAATGTTAATTGCAGTTTTAGGTTAAATATCCTAACTGCCTAAAAAACTCTAAATGAACCCAGCAGCCCCTTTAAATGATACTTTACAGGTTCATCTTTTAATTCAAATCAGTGTTAAATTTCCTTCAACACACAAAGCTGTCATAATTTACACAATTAACTATAAATAAGGGTTCGCTATCCTAGATGGGTCTTTAAGTTGCTCTTTTGCATTCTTTAGCTGCAGATTAGCTTGCACTCAGTTTGAAGAAGTTTCTCATTGTGTCAGGAGAGAGTGCAAAAATCCACATTGTAACATTTAAAGTGCCAAGAATGAAGACAATTGTTTGAGAAAATATGGAAACACAGTGATACTGCGACTAGTGGTTGTTGTCCATGATTGATAAAACAAAAGCAGGTCATTGAGGTTACTAAACAGCTGATGGAAAAAAACAGAAATATTCTTTATTTTGGGGAAATTCAGCTCTGGTAGCAGCAAAGTGAAATATAAAAGCAGAAAATAAAAGTAAGGAAATGAACAGTAAAGATTTTTCCACACCTTTATTATAATTTTATGCAGAGCAGCGAGTGGAATAAAAGTAAACAGGCCACAAGTTTCTCTTGAGCCATTAATTACCACAAAATGAACAAAACTAAGCATTCATTTAGTGCAGAACCTGCTGAGTCATCTAAACTTTCTTTGTTGTGCTTTCCTGACTCCCTGCTGTGTTTCAGACTTGGAGCGATGTGAACCAGGCTGGGATAAATTTCACGGTTTCTGCTATCGACACTTCAGCCAGCGCCAGAGCTGGGAGGTGGCAGAGAGGCACTGCCGCACGCAAGGAGCTCATCTAGTGTCCATCATGACCCCAGAGGAGCAGGACTACATCAACAGTAGGGCCACGAAGTCCAGTTCACCTTTTCTTTCCTGTGTTTTATTTTATGATTGAACTGGGATATGTCTCTACTAGGTAACTACAAGGAGTACCAATGGACTGGTCTGAACGATAAGACGGTTGAGGATGATTTTCGTTGGTCTGACGGAAACCCACTGGTGAGAAAAGTTAGACACACTGCTTTTAAAAAAGACAAGCAACAAACATCACACAAAATTACGACAAAGTATTACAGCCATGCTAAGAAAATGAGAAAAACATCAACAAAAAAACAACAATATTACAAGAATAAAGTTGGAATATTCATAGAATAAAGTCATAATCCTATTAAAGTATTCTCATAATATAATAACTTTATTCTCATATAACATATTCTTGTAATACAATGAATTTATTCTTGCATTATTTTGACTTTCTTTTCTTCATGTTATGAATTTATTCTCAGATAGTAATTTTTTTTCACTTTTCTGTTTAGTTGGCCTTTTTACTCCATCTTAAAAATATCTCTGAAGATTATTTTTCCTTTCAGTTGTATATAGACAGGTGGACAGAAAGACAAAAATAACCATGAAGAATATGGAGAAAATCACAAGAAAGTTACAATCTTTTCAGGACATCAGTTGTGGTTTTTGGTACATTTTAAAAGTTTTGTAACGCCACTAAATAATTTTTAAAACTCTTATTACTCCAAAATTAAAATGTATGAAAGAAATACCCCTTTTTTCAAATTCAAACTTATTCTCCAAATCAATACAGCTGTATGAGAACTGGTACCGAGGGCAGCCTGACAGCTACTTCCTGTCTGGAGAAGACTGCGTGGTGATGGTGTGGCACGATAACGGCCGCTGGAGTGACGTACCCTGCAACTACCACCTGGCATACACCTGCAAGAAAGGCACCTGTAAGCTCCGCCAGTCAAGACTGAGCAGACATCATTTGGACCTGAGATTGCAGCTCCCTCTACTGGTTAATAGAAGCCATTACATCACAATTTGTTCTCTCTTTTTACAGCCTCTTGTGGGCCTCCACCAAAAGTTCGTAATGCGTCCATATTCGGAAAACCGCGAGTGAGATATGAGACCAATGCAGTTGTGCGGTATCGCTGCTCAGAGGGCTTCCAGCAGAGACTGAACCCTGTGGTCCGGTGTCTGTCCGGAGGCCGATGGGAGAGACCTCAAATCCTCTGCATCCCTGGTGAGATTGGAGTTTATTCCATAAATATACCCAATTATTCATTTTAATTATGTCTAATTATTTGTTTGTTCAAATTTAATCCAGAAGGTGGAGAAATTATGCAGCACCTCGCCTTGTTGTCGCAAACCGACAGCAACTTTTCAGCAGCTGAAACTGAATTTGAAGCCACTAAAGAGACACCACAGTTCTGGGACATCAAGTTTTAACACCTTAAAAATACAGTTTGGTTACTGTACCATGACAAAATGCAAATTATCTTGAATAATGAACCACAAAAACAAAAAATGATGGCAAATTATGAAAATTTGCTTCAGATAAGAATGTGCACCAATGATTATGAATATTTTTAACTCATCATGTGGCATTTAATTACCCCCAAATCAAGCCATGATCTATAAATATTTCCTAATAATTGTTCTTGGTGTGGTTTTTGCTAGGGTCTTTTCACACAATGGTGCTAAGCTTTTAAGACACTTTTACAGAGTTAGATTTTTATTGTGTCATGTTCGTACTTTATCAAAGATCCTGACACCTCTAAGTGATTCGTCAGATACCAAGAAATGTTGTATATGTTGGTTTTCACAGCTAAAATTACTTTCCACGTTTTTTTTTCCAACAGGAAACTTAAGATCAAACAGACACAGTTTTGTTCGGTGGCTTTATGTTGTAATAAAGTTTTGTAGAACAGAGCCAAGAATAAATCAGTCTATTTTACTCTCACTGTGTGTTGGCTTTATTTCATATTGATTCATGTAAAAGTATTTACTGTTTTTACTGTTTCTGATGTGCCAGCTGCTATGAAATAGATTTGTTTGAACCCTTATGTGCTGCTCTGTATGTGTAGCAAATTATCTCCAACTCAAGATAACAATAGAGCATCTTTGACAAACCAAAGACTTTAATAAATTATCTACAGTTCAAATTTAAAAGAAAAGTACCGCATAAAACATCTCTAAAACCAAAGCGTTAATTAGCAGCATGACTGTCTCGCTTTTCGGCTGCCATATTTGTTCCCAGCAACCGAGTATGAGTATTTAAAATAAGTTGAATAGAAAAGAAAGAGAAAGAAATTGATACAGGTAAGTTTTAGTAAATCAGAAGTGACCTTAAAGACTCGTAAAAACATGAAAATGCACAAATCTAGGTGAACAGGAGAAGGCCTCTTGCTTCTTTTGCATAAAATGACCCTTTAAAATTTGTAAAGAAATGTTGTTTACTGATAAACTGTATACGTATATTTTGTGCTATTTACCTATCTGTGCTCTGATAATTTGACAACTTCCGAGTTTATTTAGATATTAAAAATGCTTTTTTTAAGAGCTGCATGGACGGATTTAGCCACCAGATGGCAGCGTTGGAACATGTTTCATGAAATGATATTTTACAGAAAGCAATGACGCTGTTGCATGGGATTTCAATTAATCTTCCTTCATTGCAAGTAATTTAATCTCTACATGTGAAAAACTGGTAGAGACATTGTTCAGAAATTAAAAATTATTTTCCCCTTTGTATTGTTCTATTTTATAAAAATCCCATTAAAATGCACCAAATAAATAGGTAAAAAGGACAGGTCAATTTTATCAGACATGTTTAATAAATAGAAGAACACCAGGACTCCACTTGTGAAGTCTTTAACAAGCTCATTCAGTTCAATCCTAATAAAAAGTTTGGTGTCCGTCCTTTTGGCCGTAGAGCCGACAACTTACCTCTAGATGTTTGGATTGGTGGAGTGTACTCAGACCTTTGACCCTGGGGTCAGAAGGTCACAAAGAGTGAACAGTGGCTAGGCTTTAAGGTAGGGGTGCCCAAATATTTTGAGACCAAGATCTATTTTTCCTCTCACCAGCCGGCTGAGATCTACCTCATGACACGAAGACATACAAAATGTAAATTAAACTCTATTGACTCATTTTATATGCAAATATACATCAGTTATGTCAAAAGTGATAAAGTGATAGAAAACTTAATGCGGTTTCTTCCTCAGTGAGATTCTGACACTGGGAGCAGGTTACTGGTTTCTCAGTCAGAAGCTGGTCTCAAACCGGAGACCTGAACATGGCAGTGGTTGATTAGCTAATTTAAACTCCTGCTCTGCGAAACTTCTGCGACCGCCATATTGAGCACCCCTGGTTTAGGGCTTCGCTTTCTTTCTGTTTATCTAATACTTTTAAAATGACTCAAATGTCAGTTTTGGCACAAAAGCATCTGAAACATTCAGTCTTTTGCTGATTTAATCTGTGCTCGGATGTGTCTGATTTTACGTTGTAGCTGCAGAGCCGCACATGTCCAGCAGGGGGCAGTCTGGACTGGAGGTGATTCAGATGTTTTCGGACTTCAGACATTTCTCCAAACTCCAAGTTTGTACTCCAAACTTGTGCTCTTGCACTTTATATATTTCTTATTAATGTATTCTGACTTTGAACCACAATTAAATGTTGACATTGAGTCAAAATTTTCTACGAGTAATGCTTCAGTGTGACATCTAGGTCTTGTTTATCAGGTATATTTAAACTGAAAGGTGGAGCTTGGATAGTAAAATTGAAAATTATCTGTAAAAATAAACATTTTAGAGCCATTTCTCCAGCTGCAGCATCATCATTTATCTATTTCATGTTTGTATTTACTGCTTATTTTGAGCAACAAGGACAGAAAGTCATTTGTTTCTACCAGTTAAGCAGACGTGTCTGTCAAACTCATTTAAATAAACTCTGTTCTGACCATGTTAGAATCACCACCGAGTCTGTGTGTTTTCTTAATGTGCTGCTGCGATGCATTAACATTTGAAAGCATGGAGTTCCTGTGAACTTATTTGACCTCTGACCTCTCCTCTGTGTCTCAGATAACAAATAGCTGCAGCTGAGGCAGAGGCTTACTGGTCGGTTCTCACCCGCAGACTCCAGACTGGGACACGTCTGCTCAGAAGCATCTCTGAGTGGGTAAGAAAAAGTGATTATTTTAAGTGATTCTGACTTGTTTTGATCGTTAATGACTTCTTCAGACACTCTCTGTGTTGTTTAAGCACCAGCTCTGAAAAGAAACAAACCCCTCTGTCAGTTCTCGGGTTTTAACGCATATGGTGATTTGCAAAAGTATTCATGCACCTTGTCGTGTTACAAGCATAACTATTGCTACGTTTGACTGGGATTCTGTGCATCAGATCCACAAACAAAAGGTCACAATTGTGAAATGTGACGTTTTCTGACTTTTCTGAGCTTTATGGACGTAGAAAGACGTCTGGAGGAAGTCTTCTCTGCAAGAAGATGAAAGGAAGGGTGTTTTCACCGTAAGATCCAGTTGCAGCTAATGTGATTCACTTTCACACTCCACTAAATCAAATGATCCAAATCCATTAGAAAACCAGATCCCCTCCTCACCTGTGGTGGCACTGCACCAAAAACTATTGAATGAAACAACAGAAAAACGTCTGATGAAAATGCTGACCACAACTTCCTGCTTCACGTAAACAAAAACGGAGTGTTGTCAAGTTTTAGTGGTTTGTGGGATTTCTCTTTTGTCTTTGGCTAAAAGCAACAAGCAATTTTTCCAGCTGGTGGTCAGCTTACTTGTTTGTTTTTGCTTGTATTTACCCAGAATGCTCTGTGCTGTAGTCCACTTCCTGGTTTTGGAAGTGACCAGAGAGAGGTCACAAAAACCAAACCGGGTTTTTAAGTGGACCAGAGTTCCCTTTTTTTCTTCTGTTGTGATGGACCATATGAGTATTTAAATATTACCTAAGTATTTATTTTTAAACAATTCTGATAATCAATTATTATTTTTTAGCAAAACAACCCTGAAATAAGAGCTAAAATAGTTTAAATAATCTTACTACCAACTTTATATCACCTGTAGATTTGTTTTCTCTTTGTGTGACGTATTATATGAGTACTAGTTATTCTAGTAATCAGATACTAGAATAACTAGTATATGATTAATTTGACTATTCATTAATTTGACTATTCATTGGATAAAAATTGGGACATTTCTCAGATTTTTAAGCCTTTTCATACAATATTAGAAACACATTTTAAAATACAAATAATTCAATTCACTTTTTAAAAAAAGAAAATAAAAATTTAATTGCCTAGAATACAATAACATTAGTTTAGTGAATGCTTAATGATTTGTAGTAAAGATAGATCTGCAGCTAAATATAGTTTCACCACCAACATGAGAAAACCTTTTCTGGTTGCATCAATACAGTGTAGTCCTGATGTGTTGATTATTTTTGGATTGACTAATTAGTAATTGCACAGAAAATGTGCTTAATAGGTGATTTGTCTTACAAGACAAAGAACGAAAGAGCTAAAACTATGTCGCGTTAAGATAGATTTTATTGAAGATCCTAAATCCCATTTAGAAGAACAAGAAAAAGAATCAATAAAAAAGGAGAATAAAAAAGTACATAAAAAATCCCCTAACCATTCAGGAGACAGTCATACCAATGTCTCCAAAGTACAGATGAGTGTCTTTCTGCATTATATTTAATGTTAGTCAACAATAGAGAAATTCTACTATTAGACTCGTTTAAATGGCACATAAATTTTCACATAATCTTTCTTAAAGCAGCCATTAAAGAGCTGACAGAGCAGATATTAACAGTTCACTGGCACCGGTCCATCTGGGCTTTTTTAACAAAAGAATAACTCTAACTCATTAGTCGGATATTTTCGATTAATCGGATATTAATTGCAATTATCCGATTCATATTTTCAGTCCTAATCTTGCACCATCATCTTCGGCCATTGAAAAGCTTTTATCGCTTTCAGATGTTCCAGGTAGTGAGTATCAATAATTCTTCTTTTCTAATCTGTTTAAAATAGAAAACTGTTCCAGACAGGCAGACATTCCTGCACACAACCAGAACGCAGACATGTTCACAGGTTCTCACAACCCAGACACACACACACACACACACACACACACACACACACACACACACACACACACACACACACACACACACACACACACACACACACACAGCCTCAGTGTGACGCAGACGATCTGAAGGGCCTCATCTCGCCTGCCTTTCTCTGCCTGTCTGATCCGTCTGACCCGGCCCTTTTATTCATCTAATTAAGCAGTCAGACCCTCCACCATGCCATGACAAACTCATGGATGATTTCTCGCCATGTTTTGTGCCTGTGTCTTAGTCTGGATGGATCTGTTATTTATCGTAATCTATGACGCATTGTTTTCCCGTCGAGCGGTGTGTGTGTCTGTGTGTGCGTGTGTGTGTGTGAGAGAGAAGGAATAATTCAAAAAATGTTCAATAGGAGCCACCAGACGCTTTCAGTGGAGGGTGAATGACTTTGGTCAGAATTTCAGACGGTGCTGAATATTGAGGCAGCAGTTTCCCATGCAGCATCTGCAGCACAAAAAACATGGAGTCTGTTGTTTCAGCGTTAGCCTGGTTAGCACACGCCTAAACGCAGACCTCCACGGTCCAACACGCTCCGGCCTCCTGTCTTGCAGTCCGAGGATGCTGCTCCCAGCTGAGACCTGACCTCTGACCTCCCATCAAAAAAAAGGCAGAGGTTAAACTCAGCAAACCAGCAGGTCAACAGGCTCTTTATCCGGACACGACCTCTTCGTCCCTGTGGAGAAGTTGGAAACGCCAGGAAAGAAAACGTGTTTTTCTTTCTCTGGTTCTTCAGTTGCTGACATGATTTGAAAAAATAGACAGAAAAATCAACAACTTTTTTTAGATTTTCTGAGTC